CATCGAAAATAAAAAATATTATTAATACAAATAATATTGTCATACTGATAATATTACCAATAGTAATTAATATCAGAATGAATAACACTATTGATAGTAATCCTAATGATCATGATAATGAAATCATTGCTAAATTACTGATGTGGTCCTTGAGGGATTCTAACCGAATATCGACCAAATCAACTGTTGAATGTTGGTAGATTGTTAAATGAATAACCAGGACATCCACACAGATGACAAATAATATAGACAACGTGATAAATACCAGGTATAAACGCCAGAGAGCCAGCGAATAGAAACACCCATCCGTTGTATTCTGAAATTTTTTGGGAATTCGTTTATGCATAACGATCGTTGAGATTTCTAACTATAGCTGACTAGAATGGAAATAAGTTTATCAATTCACGTCATTCACAACTCAACAATTCCACTTTCTCATAAGACTGAGTATCAAAAAACTTTCGGAAGTATACGGTACGTCCGAAGAACATTTCAGCAACATTATTATTAATATCATCGTCAACTGACTGATGCATTGAAATAAACTGAGAACGGTAATAATACGAAAATCCTTACTCCCATCACCCGGAAATATTATTTCTACGGCACCAGCGATCAGAAACGCTGAAACGAGAAGTTAACATGAAAAACTATTTTGATGAATAATATGAATTAATTTATCTTTTTCATATGAAGGCTTTAAATAATCACTATCAAAAAATTTTGTCTTGCCTAACAGTTCTACTCTTATAAACTTTACTGACTCAAATTTTTGCAGTGAACAAGTTAACAGTACAGAAAAAATTGAGCATCTCTACATCGTGAGCGTTATATTTATAAATAAACAACTGCTTCAATGCATCTATATTTCGGTACTGTCAAAAAATGATTTTAAAGTTTTCAGATTTCGAACCTGCTCCAAGAATGGTCAGTAACACAGATCCGACAACCACACGCCAATTATCGCGAATTCTTGCGTCTCTACAGAACGGCCTTAAATAAAAAAAGATCTATAAAGAACAAATAGGAAGTAAACAGATTTACAGTGAACAGTAAATAACAGAACGTGCAATAAAAGATTAGAAGTTGGAAACGAGCTTACCCGTCAGCCGGAGAAGGATATACATCGGTCGATCTGAGTCTCGCTTCATACGTCTGGTCCGCAGAATCCAACGAATTCGATGGATGTGACGGGGAGGCGGATGTTTCAGATTTTTCACCGTTCAGTTCCTCATCATACGATTCGTTCCGATCCACTATCAGCTGCAACAAATAAAGAATGCTACTCGAACTTTTCTTTCAAGCTAACTTTAATAGAAAGTTGGCTCGTTTTAAATGTCACATAAGCCTTTATCCTTAATTTACCGGTCTTTTTACACGAAATATTATAATTTTGAATGATATCCTGCGAGCGCATGGCTCAGAATGTCAACAATAAGCTGAATACCTTTAGAGATTTCCTCACTAAACAATGAAACAAAATCACGAATTCAAACCTGTTGTCCTTGTGATGTGTTGCGATTATGTGTAGGAAAGGAATTCATTACACATTACTTAGCTGCTGCTAAACAACAGTTATAACACTCGTTCACAATAAACAGTTGAACCTTAAATGTTTATTCAAACATAAAATGGAGTAAATGATAGCAAGCAATCGAACGACGCAAAAAAATTGAATTGGATAAAGGTATTTTGAAGATAATGAACAATTTCCTGACGGTAACAATGGTGGTCTTGATAATAGGAGTAGAACGATATACTAGAACAGCAGCAATAAACGCACTAGCGAAAATAATATCAAGATTTATCGTTAGAGTTGCGAAAATGAACGTGAAAATATTCTTCTTCGTAATTCGATAACATCTGCAGAATCGTTTATCTTCAAAATTCAGCTATGCGTTATGAATTGTCAGATCCTTGAGCAACCGTTCACATAGTCAGTTTCATCAAGAATCTCTCGTTTGCGAGGAAAGACGAGAGATTTGAATACGAAAGCATTGAAATCCAACAATAAAAGATCTCCACGGATATGCAGTGTAATTTTACAGGCATCAAATAACGTGAGTAAATAAACAGATGGTGCGCACATGTTTCGCCAATTGCAGACACAGTGACAGTTCGCCAAGTGATGGAACGAACCCACATTTGCATTTGTGACTGGTGCTAAGAAATGTGAATTTCTTACGCATTTAGAGACAACAAATTCAAGTGATTTATGTATCATTTTCTAGCGCACATCCACAAGAATAAAACACGATGTACAGAGTGGACAGCAATAAAGATATACTTGAGATTTTCTACTTAGCTTGAAGTATAAAAGTTTAATTGTCATTATGATTATGGCAAGCGATCAGGCACACTTCGGCAGTTGTTCATTTATAAGTTGTTCTTAGGTCAGATTAGGACTGATCTCAAGTTATACCTTGAAACATTCGAAGTGAACATTTGGTCAAGTCATTCTATAGTTTATTAATAATGCTTTAATGATTTACTCGAAAGTTGAACACTGCTTTAGATAGCATTAGTAAACCCGACCATTCGTCGCCGGCTTAGCTCAGTGGTTAGAGCGTCTGTCTTGTAAACAGAAGGTCGCAGGTTCGATCCCTGCATTCGGCATCTCAATTTTGTCACTTCACTATGTCGTTGAAATCCTATTTTTTCTTTTCCCACTGATTTTGAGAATGTTTTAACCAGAATGTTGCGTTTTTGATGAAATCTGCTGAAAACAAGCGAAACTCGTGGAGAACGTGATGTACATCCATCTGCCTTAACAATTACTTCTATCGGCAATGAGAGAATTTCAATTACTAAAATGTATGCCATAAACATCATCAGTGATCATTCCAAATAGCGTAAACGATAAGGAAGGAACACTCCAATTGTTACGAGCAAATTATGATAAATTTTGGACGTTCAAATATTCAAAATACATCTCCTAATTCAACTCAAAACTACGTCTGCATCAGTCAGAAATTTATTCGCATACGAAATTTCTTTCAAAATTTTCCAGTCGACAGCCAAATTCCAGAGCATCTTAAACATCGAATGTATTTTATGCTGACTGTTATTTTGAGATTGTTCGCAGATTCATTCATTTTAACTACAAATCATTGATGCATTCTTCAAGGCATTCAAAACAACACAAATGTATCGTACGAAAACTAAAGAAAAAAGAGCAAAACTACTTTTTTTTTCAAGCGATTATTACTAATCATTCCGTCGTTCTGAATGTGCTGATATTTGAAAAGAAGTGCTAAAAAATGAAATTGCATCATTTCGTTTGCAAATCTCAAATTCAAGCACATTTCGTAATAATTGAACGCACCTAAGCGTACGTTCTAATCTAGCTC